CCTGGGAACTAAGTCCTGGTAGAGAACTTCCAGTCAACGGCCCATGTGGAGGATGCACGGACTTTGTAAAGTATGAACCATCCCTAAGTCTGGGAGAGGCCTGTGTTCAGATACCCACCCTGTCCTGAATCTCACTGAGTGACTTTGAGCCAGTCTCTCTCAGCCTAATATGTCTCATAGGAATCCAGTAGCACCTTAAAGCCTAACACATTTAATTCTGGCATGCGCTCTTGTGAGTCACATCTCTCATCATCAGATTCACAAACCATTAGTCAGATGTATTTATATTAAAAGCTGCAGACTAACACAGCTACCCATCTAGGGCATACCTCATAGGCTTACTTGAGGATGATGACGCTGGCGGGTGGGCCGAGAGCCACATGCACTGCTTTGAGGGGGGAGATAAAAAGTGTGACAGCTTTGGTAGGATTGTTGAGAATTCACGTGAAGCACTTTAGCATGTTCAGAGTGCTTTTGGAAGTATTTTTTATTGTAATCAGCCTGAGAAATAGACTGTGGTGATGAGTTGCCTCAGCACTGCGAACATCTGGCCCTGATTACTTTTTAGCGCTCATGAGGAAGGCTTGATATCCTGTGTTGTTGAGAGTTCATGTGAAGCTCTTTAATGTGTTCAGAGTGCTTTTAGAAGTATTGTTTTATTGTGATCAGCCTGAGAAGGTAACCGTTGGTGACGAGTTGCCTCAGCGTTGCAAACAAGTGGCCCCAATTACTTTTTTAGCGCTGGTGAGGAAAGCTCGATATCTTGTGTTGCCACCGTCTAAAAGTATTTACTGGGTAGTTACTGCAATGTTGGGTTTAATTGTCAGACGGCCAGATAATAGGCAGATGGCTCAGTCTCTGCATTTAGGTTTCTTGGCAGCGAGCCAAACTGCTCATTTTTTGTATTAAAAAAAATACAAGATAAGCTTCTGAAAAAAAAGGGAGGGAAATAAATCTCACGGCTGCAGGGTCTGTGGCAGTTGTTGCAGCTGATAAATATGTAGAGTGCCTCAGAGCGTTCCCTCTTGTGTATATTGTGTCTGCGTAAACGTATTTGGAGAACAAATAGGCAAATCCCTAAGCAGTCGTCTTAGACAAAAACATTTCATCTTTCAGAAAACCAGCAGTTTCCTCCCCCCCCCCAGTTGTTGCTCTTATATTTATGGGGCGGGGGGGGTGAGAAGGGGAAGAGAGACTGCCAAGAGTATTTAGCTGGGCTGTGTGCCCTCCATCTCATTGAAAGAGGTGGGTGCTGGCTTCTTTGTAGGCAGTGTGTACCCACGACAAGCCTAGGTAGGGTTGCCAAGTCCTACCTTAAGCTGCAGCGGAAGTGACGTGGCTGCATCGGGTGCACCGGGGGCAGGGCTGCGGTCATCCGAGGGAAAAACATAGAGTTTCCCTCAGATGACTGCGGTCCCGCCCCCGGCGCGCCCGGTGTGGCTGCGTCACTTCCGGGTGACGTGCTGACGCCGGACATGTCCCGTGCTTTGGGGATGGTGTTCCCCCTGGGGCCCGATCCGCCGGCGGCGGGGAACGGGCTTCTGGGGTGGGGTTTTCCCCGCCCCCCGGGGGGACTTGGCAAGCCTAAGCCTAGGGTCCAGGAATGGTGGCATGCCAGCACTGTGTTCAGAGGTCCAGGGCATGGAGTTAGGAGCGGTTAAAATACTATGCCTGGCTGCATGTGAAACACTTCCTGGGGAAATGCTTTTCTTGCATCCCCAGTCTTGTGTAAATGGCCTACCCCATTTGTATCCCATTAGAGTTCTGTGGGCAGAGTGAGCAAGTCTTTTCTTTCCACCCTTGACTATTCAGTGTCGTTCCTCCAATATCACCTCTTCTAGAATCTCCTTGTGTGCTACCTGACAGTCAGTCGGTGGAGAGAATGGATAAGGCCTGAAGTACTGGAGTTCCTTCGTGCGCAGAAGGCACCTACCTTTGCTTTCATAAGCAACCGGTTTCACATATTTCATCCTGCTGTTTGCTGCTTTCTCAGATGGCCTGGTGGTTTCCACCTCTAGACTGTTGCTTCTTTTCTTCTGGTCTGCATGTCTGGCTACAGGGAGTTCCTCACAAAGCCCGTTGTTCAGAGTCTCAGTGGAGGGTACCAGTAAGGCATCCTTCCTATGAGGGCACTATAGCTCCTTGGAGGGTCTGGGAACTTTGAACTCTTGTTAAGTCCTTTATGTTCCTCTAAAGATTGCGTCACTAGGCAGCCTCTCCATATCCACTCACTCTTGGGAATCTGTGTTACAGTCAGGTCGATTCGGGGGGGATTGGCGTTCCCCCGGGTGAAGTGCGGGTGGGCACACGACGAAGCCCCGCCCCCTGCTTCCGGCCGCCCCCTGCTTCCAGCCTCATTCTGTTGCAGAAGGAGGAAGAAGCAGGAGGGTAAGTTGGCGTCCTCCCCCTCTTCCTGGCCGAGGCCACTCCACGTGGCCTCCGCAAGGACTCCCAGCCCCATCCAGTAGCTTCCCCGAGGTACCGTAGCTGTGTTAGTCTGTTGCTGCAAAATAGTCCAAGAGTTAAATAGCATCTTTAAGACTAACAAATAGCACCTTTAAGACTAACCTTTAAGACAAAGACTAACTGAGTGGTGGGTGTGGCCTTATGACACACTTCTGGTGATGGCAGGGGGTGTGGCCTTATGACACACTTCTGGTGATGTCAGGGGGTGTGGCATATGCTAATGAGTTATGCTAATGAGTTCCCCTAGCTCTTTTTCTACGAAACGACCCCTGGTTACAGTCTGTCCATTTGCTCCAGTCCCCTCCTCCAGTGTAAGAGAATGATGCACCCTAGTAGAATTTCCCTGGTCTGGATCGCCCAGGCTAGCCCGATCTCGGAAGCCAAGCAGGGCTTTGGAGAGGAGGCCACCAAGGAAGTCCAGGGTCGCTGTGCAGAGGCAGGCACTGGCAAACCACCTCTGTTCATCTCTTTCCTCCAAAGCCATAAGTCGGCTGCAGCTCGACAGCACTTTCCACACGGTAGAATTTGCCTAATTGTGGCATTATTTCTGTGTGAATGAACCTTTGTAGATCAAGCATGACGAGATAAAAGCTTCATACCACTCCAAACGATGTGCTTCCCATTTGACTCACAGAGCGAACCAGAAGTATTGAGCGATATACAGTACATTAAAACCTGGACCAGCCTTTTAGAGCTGCAAAGCCCTTGTTTGTCTCAGTTTTTCCTTACATGGTTAGCATTGGCAGTGTTGCCGGTCGGCACTTTGCAGACTGGATTAGCTGTCGCATTCTGATTCTGCCTGTGGCTTCAAGTTCTGATTATTTAAATCCCCGTCATATTCCAAGAAGATTCGGTGCATGCCAGCCTGTCTGTTGTAACCAGCTGTTGATAAATGCATAAATGCATCGATGGAAGATAACATCTGCAAAGGCGAGCCTGTCTTCCCATTTATGAGAATACCGCTATGGATACCTGTACTTAGCCATTCCTGTTCTGTATCTGATCACATCCTTTGCATTTCCAGAATTTTTGGCTTGCAAGAGAAGCGTTTTTCTAAATAAATTGAGAGATGAAAGGACTTGACAGCTAGTTCTGAGCGCACACCCTGGATTAAAATAGGTTTTATGTTGACGGGAGCGGGGAGGCCAGACAGGAACGCTGACTGCTAGAACGAAATAGCTGACAGGCCCCTGGAAAGGAGGTCACGGAGCCATGGATTAAGAAGTAAGGCATGGGGGAAATCAACTCTTACCTATAAGCCTTTTGGAGCTCTGTTTGGAGATTTAGAATGTTAAACAAAGCAGAAATAATCCCGGCATTATTTGTAATATTCCCCCCCCCCGTACTTCTCACTCCCTAATGGAAACCCCCAAAGCAGGATTTAGGAAATCGTGAGCATGGCTTCTGCATACTGAATGTGTTCTCATAAATTACCCCCCCCCAAAAAAAAAAGATTGAAAAGAAATCGGCTTCAGCTCAATGCGTGCAACTTTGGTTTAGGGAATGCCTGGTGGTCCAGAACCCCAGCAAGCCTGGTGGTTAGAATTGTGCCGCATGGCTCTGTGCTTCTGACTTGTTCACTGCTGCTGCCCGTGATTCTGTGCATGCACTTTAGGAGCAGAGGAGGCGAGAACACAGGGCTTCACCGACATCTCTGATCGGGGCTGTGGTAAGAAGGGTCCCTGCCATGGAGACTAGTCAAGGAGGGAGCAACAGCTGAGGGTTGCGGCTGGTTGCTTACTTTGAGGAACCGTTTCTTCTTCATTTCAGAAACACGTGTGGGTATGTTCCGTAACTACACAAAGCAGCTCCTAATTTAATACCATTACTGGGTGGTGTATTCAAGGTTCTTTCAGTGTTCGGGCACACATGGGATGTTGTTTTCTTGCTGTCTCATAATGCGTCCCTTGTTTTGGAGCTCTTGGGGAGGCAACCCGACAGGAGTCCTGATAGGTTAGTGTGATGGGTAGGAGGGTGTCCTGCCTCGTAAGGGGAAAACAGCCACTCAGATGAGCTAATGGCAGTGCGGCTCGAGCACCCAGTCACCTTTCAGAGCGGGGGGGGGGTTGGAATGCTGGAGGTTAGTTCAGATCTGCCTCGGGGAGAACGCAGTGATAGTTTTGGGTCTGCCTCAGCAAACACCCAGAGAGTTAGAAGGGCCGCTCTGCCTGGCAGTGTGGCAGAGAGGGTTTAGCTCTACCTCTGATTACAGTTTAAAACATCTGCTTCCCCAAAAGATGACCGGAAGAGACATGTAGATTCATATGGAAGTAGGCAGTTGTTTAGGTATGCTGGCCTGAGACCATATAAGGCTTTAAAGGTCAATATTAGCACTTTGAATTGGGCTCAGAAGCAACCTGGGAGATAGTGTAGATTGAACAAGGCTGAAATGATAGGGTCCATGCGACCTGCTCCAGTCAGCATTCTGGCTGCAGAATTCTATACCAGCTGTAGCTTCCAGAATTCTGTACCAGCTTCAAGGCCATCCCCACGTAGAGCGTATTGCCATAATCTAATCTAGATGTTACCAGGGCATGCACCACAGTGGAAAGGTGTTTTCCACCCAGGAAGAGCCACAGCTGGTGAAAGGCACCCCTGGTACCTCTGCCATGTATTTACCCAACAGGAGGCCTGGGTCCAGGAGGACCCTCAAGCTATGAACCGGCTCCTCTAAGGGGAGTGCAGCCCCATCCGTCACAGGTGACATTGCAATTCCTGGCTCAGACCTTCCATCCATTTTGTCGGTATTGAGTTCATCCTGAGATCCTTGGGAGATCAGAATGCAGATAAAATTAAATTCAAGACGCTTCAGATCATGCCTATAAGACATACCAGTTTTCCTTGCAAGAGCAGCAGCAATGACTTTTTAAAGGGGGCGTATATTAAATGCCAAGGGTGCCTTGTGTGTTTTAAGTAAAGACAGTGTCAGTGATCCGTACTTAGAATGCAGCCTGCTAGAGCAGAAACGCAGCTTGGCAGCAAAGACGCAAACGGCTCAATTCCACACGTGTTTGTTACAGATAAAAAGAGGCTTGAGGCTAGAAGAAAATTGCTCCATGTTTAGAATTCTCTGCACCTGATGCTTCTTTTTGGTAAAAAGAAACACCGTACCCTGTAAATGTGATAGCTCAGTTAGGAAGGGCAGCACAAAACTGCTTGTGGCTAAACGCAGTGATATTTGGGGGCGCAGTCAATGTATATGTGAAGTGGACGTAATTACATCTTAAGAAATTAGGCATATGATGATAGGATGTGAGTTTTTCTTAAGGCATAGCACATTTATTTCTGATCCCTGAACAGCACTATCACATGTGTGTGCCTTTTACCCTGGATATTGTTTTGGCTGAAACGTTTGTTTTAAGTAGTATGCGGGGGCTACTAAGCAGTCTCCCAGCCTTGGTTATGGAGATAGTCCACACCTGTATGAGCAATACTGAGGTACCAGGGGGTCCCAAGGCCATAGTCAGTACTCACTGAAATGCCAGCCTCGGTCTGCTGTTCGGCTAGATGTTTCCCTTTGTATATCCCTGCTGATCTGCCGGCTCTTGAGTGTGCGGCTATATTAAGAAACCAAAGCTGTTGGTACATATAACATTACTCTCTAGACAGGGAGTGGGGATACTTCAATTGAGGTCAGAAGGAGGGAGGATGCAGAAGCTGGAATTAAATGCCTGTGCTGAGTTTTATTTTTAAAGCTATTGTGGTCCGGAAGAGTCAAATATCTGCTGTGGGTTGGCTTTTAAAATACACACACAAATCCTTTTAAAATAATCGATCGCCATGAGTTGTATTAACTGCGAGACTGATTAATTCCAAGCACTTTATATTTTAATGTATCTGTCCATTATAATGCTTACCCAATCACGACTCTCTGCTTCTGGGGTTTGCAGAGATTGCAGACCTGTCGGGCCAAGCATTCGTAGTAGACTGTTTTCTGTATGTCTGAATGTATCCCTCCTAGCAAAATGGGCCTGCTCTTGATCATAAACCACTGGCTGCCATTCCATCTAGCAGAATATTTAATGGTCTTAACAAGGGAGCTCTGCTGGAAAATATTGAGGCGCCTGGTCCCCTAAGTGCATCTGTAGATCTCGCCTGCGTCTATCTCAGTTCTGTGTAGATGCTAATGAAAGCAGAATGACTTGTGGTAATGAGATCTCAGAGGCCATGTAAATGCAACCACTTTGTAGTCAGAGCGCTGCCAGTTTATTCATTTCCATTGGGTGATGCGAGGTTTATTCTTGTGAAAGTTTAGCCTGTTTTGTCAGACTTGGGTTGGTTTTTCACATGCTGCAAAATTTCAGTGAAAGTGCCTTTTATTTGTTTTTGGAGGATGCTAAAGGAAGAGGATAGTTTCTGCTTAAAGTGTGAGATTATTTATTTATTTATTTTATTCTATTTCTATCCTGCCCTCCCCGCAAACAGGCTCAGGGCGGCTCACAATTAAGGGCACCATGTGGCAGGTGTATAAAACATATAAAAACATATAAAACAAGATAAAAACAACCATATATTACAATTAAAGTGCTCAGTGATGTTAATCCTTCAGATGAATTTAGATGGCATATTGTAGCTGTAACACAAAGTCCCAGTTCAACAAATTATTTAAGGGCAGCTCCACGCTTCACATGACAGTTGTGTTCACTGTGTGTATATGTTAAACATACATGTTCCTTTAACACCAGTGGACGTGCAGCTGAGTATCTGGGATTCCAGGAAGGCATGTACAGGGACGTTTTGAAGACACCTGTGCATCATCCCTTCAAGTTTGTTTGTTGACTTCATTTGTACCCCATGTTTCTCTCTATTGGGGACCCAAAGCAGCGTACATAGTTCTTCCCTCTTCCATTGTATCCTCACAACAGCCCTGTGAGGTAGATCAGGTGAACAGTGTGAGACTGGCTCAAGGTCACCCAGAGTGGGGATTCAAACCTGCGTCTCCCAGGTGCACTGCAGAAAGCAGAGGTCCATCAGTGGCTATTAGCCACAAGGTATAGGTAGGAACTCTCGGTCTGGGGCAAGTGATGCTCTGTATTCTTGGGGCTGGGGTGGGCGCAACAGTGGGAGGGCTTCTAGTGTCCTGGCCCCACTGCTGGACCTCCTGATGGCACCTGGTATTTTTGGCCTCTGTGTGACAGAGTGTTGGACTAGATGGGCCATTGGCCTGATCCAGCATTGGCTTCTCTGATGTTCTTATGTTCCTATGCCTCTGAGCACACAGCTGCTGGCTTGCCATCATAACCTAAAGAGGGGGGAAAGCACTGAGAGAGTCTGTCTTGGAAACTTGTAGGGAGCAAGAAGTTGGAGACTTGGCAGTACCAGGATTAGCTTCTTTTGGATGAGAGTGTATTGGTGACCTTTGGCATTTGAAGTCAAATGAAGTCAAAGAGGCACTCCTCTATAGAGCAGCAGCTTTGGTAGCCCACACTAGATCCCAAGAGAGAGACCCGCATCCCAATTGCTTCACCTTTCTGCTAATTTTTGGCATTTGTTTACAAATATACAAACAGAGCCTAAATGAAGTCAAAGAGGCACTCCTACAGAGCAGCAGCTCTGGTAGCCCACACTAGATCCCAGAAGAGAGACCCACATCCCAATTGCTTCACCTTTCTGCTAATTTAGGGTTTCCTCTCTATGTCCTCTTCCTGTTCTAAACACAAATTGCTGTTTTCCCATGAATGCTCACACACCTACTCTTAGGTGGGAGGAAAGGGCATTGCCTTTCCCAAGCAGTCATTCAAGGACAGAGCTTGGATATGGTTTCCTTAGAATTAGCTCCCACGGAGGAACATCAGCATTCTGTTGGCATAGGTTCGACTCCCGACTGCCCTCATGCGCCACTTTAGGCAAACCTGTAGTGAATGACCCACTCACAGTGCTTGGGCAGAAATCTCCCAACAGTTTTTTGTGAATATAAAGGTGAAAGCCAAATGTTTTGTGCTTGTGCTAATGACATTCCAGATGACAGATGCTGGCATGTGCCCTTATAGATATTGCACTTTGGCATCCATTCTGCTTTCAGTTTTCATAGCTGGCTAACCACTGAGAATCTTAGACTGAAAGGCAGGGAAGGTATTCAGCACATTTGTGGCTCTAAAACTAGCATGAAGATGAGTCTGACAATTCATAACTCTTGTCTATCCTGCAATATTCTTCTGCTGATTTTTCTCTTCCCTCCGTTTTTGCATGACGCTTTCCCTCCACTCTTGTCTTCTTCCAGATTATAGCTGTTAAGCAGGGAATATTTAAAATTCAAATAAGTACAGTGTAGGGTTTTTTTTCTCTCACGTTCTGTTCATCACTTCCATAGCACTCTTTTCAATGTATGAAGTGCTTTTTTACGCTTTTGTGTGTGTGTCTTTTTTCATGCTTTTCAGGCTGTGGAAAACATAGGCATGTGCTCAGGGCTGTGTACGCTCACACTGAAACTTGGCATTCTGGTAAACCAGACTCTGTACCAAGTTGAATTCTGCAACATGTGTAGATGATGTATTTTAGAGCTGAGATGCATGTACCTTTAATCTTTTTATCATGGATGATTTGTTCTGCTTCTGCCTGTCACTGGGAGAATTAAATTCCTGTGCAACACATGGAGGCCCTTCTCTGGACAGAAAATGGCGGTGCCCGGGGGACTCTGCTCTCTGACACTTCACCAGGCATAATCCTAAAACTTTGTGACTGTACACACAGTCAGAAGCTCCATTCAGGCACTATGAGAAACCATAGTTTGATTAAACCCCAGCATGCAAATGGTCCGGCAAACCAGGGTTGAATGTTTTTGTTTTTAGTTGGCACCAAAGTGTGGTTTCCGAGTATGATTTAACACTTTTTGGTCACCACAGTTGGTACTGATTTTTGCTGGTTGTTATTCCACGCTTTGTACCCAGTCCTTGGGATAGCATGCCTGTGGTTAGTTGATTTATCCCCGTGTGAATTTTGTTTGAGGCAGACTCTGCTGAGTGGGAGAGAGAGGGGTTGACTGGCTCAGGGTCACCCAGTGAGTTTCATGGTTAAGCAGAAATCTCAGTTCACGTCTCCCAAAATTTACCATACCACTGTTCTTCAACCAGGGAGCAGAAGGTGCTGTAAGGTTGTAGTGTGCTGTAAGAGGGAGAGTGCGTATACACTACACATTTATTTTGGGTCAGATCCAACCCGCTTTTTTGCTAGGTCTTGGCTGATTCTCCTCTTTATTACAGTCCCCCTTCCACTTGGCAGACCTCATGGTCCCAAACATTGCATTTTTGATGGTTAGAGGGGTGCCCCTTCCTTCCATTTTCACCAGTAGGAAAACTGGTTTGATCCTGCTCATTAGCTTGAACTGTCATGGCTTCCCTCCATCCTAATATCCCGGGGACTGACATTTAGTGCAGATGCAAAGAATTGTTAGAAATCCACCCTCCTGGTCAGAATTCTTTAGGAGAGGGGCAAGTGCATTTAAAAATGATTCGGTGTCCCACTTTGTCAATTTTGGGTTAAAAGGGAATTCTGGGTCTTAAACGTATTTAGGTACACGTGGGATGCCTCTCCGCACTGTCTATACCCTGAATGTAATAAATCCATGTCCTTTGGCTATCTGAATTAATGGAGGTAACTGAACAATATGTGGGCTGTTGTCATATGGGAAATGACATTTTATGAGATACCGTTGATAATAAAGCATTCTGTGGTGTTAGGCTAAGAACTGGTTCCTTGGTTTTGAAGTATCCAGTTAATACATGCGACTTGCTAACAATAACAAGAAAAACCCGCTAACTTTCATTGCTATTTTAAACATCTCACCTCATTCTGTTTGTCGCTGGGCTAGTTCAGTTGTTAGAACCAGCAGTAGGCTCCTGGTCACATGCTGGTGCTTCACGTGGGAGTAATGCGTTTTAATTTTGCTTATCCCCATGCATCATTGATGAACATAAAGACTGGGAATGCCAACGCCGTGACTGCTGGAGATGGGCTGGCACTGATGTACGCAGACTCCATGCTGTGACTGGATGACACAATGGGCAAAGGAGCCTTTAAACCAATGTTTCCCAAAATGCAGATGCTTGCCTAGAACTTATGGGCAAGCATCCTCCTTGTAAATGCAGAGTAGCCCATTTAAAATTGCCTTTCCTTATCGGGAATACTTTCTGGGCAGTGGTTCAGGGATTTCCCCCGGTGGCTGTCAGCTGCTGTAAAGGCAGCCTCCAAGATGGCAGTTTAACTGTTCAAGGCTCACAGCATCCTCTTGGTTGGCCAATGAGTGTGCCGTGCAGCACAGCTGGGGACTCCTTGTTAAATGTTCCCGTTTCTACAAGGAAAGTTGCGATGCCAGGCTTTTCATTGACACGCTGGCCTTTGATATGCTCCAGTAGTGTATACCAGCATACCTAAAGCACAGTCCATTTGCAAAGCTGCAGTGTTGGCATAAATCAGGGATTTCCAATGTGGTGCCCGTGGGCGCCATGGTAAGCTTTCTTGGTGCCCACCAAGTGTTTTTAGAAAGTGGGCGGGACCAGATGGGGCTTGTTGCCCAGCAAGGCTTCTGATTGACATTTTGGAGATGTGATTGACTGTGCAGATTATTAAAAACATTATTTTGGCAGTGGCTGTGTTACCACAGTACAAGGATCTTTTCTGCCTGGTTGAAGGTCAGCTGCAGCAGCCATTTTGTGGCCAGCTCTGCCTTCTGTGGCCACCATTTTGTGGCTGTGCTCACTGGGCTGTGTTAGAATTCCAAAGGTGGCTGTAGGCTCAAAAAGGTTGGGAACCCCTGGCATAAGCCCTTTGGGGATGAGTGGGAGTTTCATTGGCGTGTCCAAGAATCCTTGTTCGTTTCCATCAGGCTTTTGTGGAAGGGCTCCCTGGTAGACAGAGCCTTGTGTCTTATGTGTCTAATATTCATTGTCCTGCATTTGGCCTTCCACTGAAACATCACTGCTTCTTAGCATGCCTGTATGCTTAAACCATATTTTTGTGTCTCTCTGTGTCTGCGTGTCTGCATTTTCTGTTCATTTTGTTCATACGTGCTTTTTGTTTCTGTTATGTTATGTAGTCTTATACCAGTGGCTAGAAGCAGATCGCCTTGGCAAGAGCTCAGATACTGCAGACAGAAAATCAGGTAAAAAAACAAGAGGGGAGGGGAACGGGGCTTACCAATTAACAAAAATTACTCTAAGCTGTCTATACTTTCTCTCATCTTTTAGTATTCTCTTGAATGATAAGTTAAATATTCTTCCTCTGATTGGTAACTTTAAAAAATAAATTAATTAATCCGTGCTCAGGTATGTTTTCTTCTCCACCATGTCCTTTCATTTTCATGGAAGATGACCAATCAGAAGCATCTTGGTTCTTTTTCTAAATTTTATAATGGAATAATAGGTGCAATGGTGGCCTCAAGACTCTCTTAAGAACCTCCTTAGGTGCAATGTTTTATGGTGCGTCTGGTCATAAGAACATAAGAAGAGCCCTGCGGGATCAGACTAATGATCCACCTAGTCCAGCATCCTGACTCACACAGTGGCCAACCAGTTCCTCTGGATGGCAACAACAGGGCACAGAGGCCAAGGCCTTCCCCTGATGTTGCCTCCTGGCTCTGAGATTCCGAGGCTTAGTGCCTCTGAATGTGGAGGTTCCCCTCAGTAGCCATTGATAGACTTATCCTCCAGGAATCTATCCACTATCCATGAAGGCCACATGGTGTACTCTAAATCTCACTCCTGCAAGGATTCCCAAGTAATCCAGGTGGAAGAACAGGAGCTCAGAACTAGCATGGGCAATAAGGTAAATACATGAGGATGTTGCATGAAAGGCAGTGATGCTGAGAGCTAAACTGGTAGCTGTCAAGACTTCAGTTTGCTGGGACCTGCTTTTCTAGAAGATGTTGAGTGCCGATTCTGCTGGGGAATGCCAAGCAGAAATTTGGCTTTTGCACCACCAGTAGGCCAGAGAACAATATGACCATTAAGACAGAGAAGAACTTCCTTTTCCATTGATTATTCAGACCAGATCCTGGCCCCTATGGAAAACTTCCAAAAAAAGTGTGGACTTTGGCCCCAGCAACCAGGACCATGTCCTTTCTACATTGCTTTGTCTGAATTAGCTCACTGCAGCTTTGCCCTACAGAACTGACAAGAAGAGGGTCTGCTGGAGACATGAAAAGCTCCTCTGTGGGTGTGCCCACTTTATGCCAGCGGGTTATTGTGATTCCTGTGAACTGTTCACAAGATCAAGTTGTGTAAGGCTGTATACCAGCAGGAGATGGCAAAATGTAGCGCAGTCATTCCCAACATGTCTCCCGTAGGTGTCATGGTGTCCACTGATGGGTTTCCAAGAACCCATTTACTTCATATCCTCCATGAATCTATCTAATCCCCCTTTAAAGCTACGTATTCCTGTGGTCATCACTACATCCTCTGGCAGCGAACTCCACATTTTTATCACTCTCTGCATGAACCTGAACCTGCTGTTTGTCAGCTTCATTGGATGCCCTTGAGTTCTAGACTCCCTAGATAGAGGGAGAAAAGTTTCTCTTTGTCAACTCTCTCCATCCCATGCATAATTTTATAAACCTCTATCATGTCCTCTCCCCCCCTTAGTCGTCTCATTTTTAAACTGAAAAGTCCTAGACTCTTCAGCCTTTCCTCATAGGGAAGGTTCTCCAGACCCCTAATCATCTTGATGGCCCTCTTCTGTACTTTTTCCAGCTCTGCAATGTCCATTTGGAGATACAGTGACCAGAACTGTATACAGTATTCCAAATGAGGCTGCACTATAAATCTGTACAGGAGCATTATAATATTGGCCGTTTTATTCTTAGTCCCTTTCCTAATAATCCATAACATAGAGTGTGCCCTTTTCACCACAGCAGCACACTGGGCTGATGCTTTCATTGAGCTATCCACTACGACCTCAAGATCTTTTCCCCTCTCAGCCTCAGCAAGTTCAGACCCCAGTAGTGTATACTGAAGTTGGGACCCCCCCCCTGTACATCACTTTTAGGAGCTACGGTGGCTCAAGTGGTTAAGACGCTGAACTGCAGGCTGTGGAAGGTCAGTAGTTCAGCAGTTCGAGACCCGGGTTGCCGCATGACGGAGTGAGCTCCCGTCTCTAGTTCCAGCTCCTGCCAACCTAGCAGTTCGAAAGCAAGAAATTGCAAGTAGATAAATAGGGACCACTTTGGTGGGAAGGTAACAGCGTTCTGTGCGCCTTGGCGTTTAGTCATGCTGGCCACATGACCACGGAAACGTCTTCGGACAGCACTGGCTCTTCGGCTTTGAAACGGAGATGAGCACCGCAACCCTAGAGTCGGACTCGACTGGCTTTCGAGCAAGGGAACCTTTACCTTTACCACATCACTTTTACACATACCAACACTGAACTACATTTGCCACACTGTCACTCACTCACCCAGTTTGTGGAGGTTCTCTCGGAGCTCTTCACAGTCAGTCTTGGTTTTCACCATCCTGAATAATTTTTTTGTCATCTGCAAACTTGGCCACTACACTTCTCACCCCTAGTTCCAGATCATTGATGAATAAATTAAATAGTACCAGCCCCATTACCCCATTACCGATGTTTGTGAGACCTCACTGCTTATTTCCCTCCCTTGTGAGATCTGTCCGTTGAGTCCTACTCTTTGCTTCCTGTCATTTGACCAGTTTTAAATCCATAAGAGAACCTGTCCTCTTATCCCATGACTGTTAAGTTTAGTCAGGGTTCTTTGAAGAGGTACCTTGTCAAAAGCGTTTTGAAAGTCCAGGTGTATAACGTCGTCTATGTGCTTGTTCATTGCCTCAAAGAACTTGTAGGCTGCAAGAAATTGAGAGCTTGCTCAGAGCAGCTAGCGATCCAAACACTGATAGTGGCAGACAGCACAACACAATTTTTAGCTTCGTATCAGGCTGGTAATGTTTGATGCTGAGGCTAAGTAGACTTTGAGTGTTTGCTGTTCTAATCTAATCGTATTCAAGCAAGGATCACACATTCCAGGCAGAAT